GCTCTAGCCAGTTTGGCTTTGTCGATCAAGGAGCTTCCACAAGAGGCGGGGTGGACGCCGCCGGCGGGAGCAACAGCACCCTCGGTGGTGGTGGTAGTGGTGCGGGGCGCCTGGGGGTGTGCTCCGGGGCGAGCGAACGAGCTATCGGCATGCGGGGGTCGTTGACCAGGGTAGCGACGGGCCATAGCTCCAGGTCCGACGTCGCCGCCGTAAGCGGCGGCGGCAAGCGGTCGTTGTTAAAGTCGACCGGGAGCGCGAGGAGCGTGAGCAGCGCTCCCACCCCCGCCCAATCGGACAACGCGGCGGCAGCGGCGGGGCCCCGTAGAGGCGGTAGCCCCGCCCCCTCCCGCGGCGCCGGCGCGACCAGCCCTCCTTGTGCAGGTGGCGGCGAAGGCGGCGAGGGTTCTGCCGCCGCCGTCCACCGCCGTATGGCGAAGGGCGAGGGAGGTCCCCCGGGCGGTCGGGCGGCGCTGTTGCTCCGAGAGAGAGCGAGGATGGGAGGCTTTGCCTCGGCGGGTGACGGCGGCGGCGGCGGCGGTGGCGGCGGTAGCGGCGGGGGGAGGGATAGAGATGAGGCGGGGGTCGTCTCTTCCTCCTCTTGTTCGTCCTTGCTCGGGGAGGGGCGAGATAGTGGCCGTCTAGACCCGGCGGCACCACCGGCGGCGGCGGCAACAGAGGCTACTGGTGGTGGAACTCCGGCCGCTGCACGCGAAGGCGAGGAAGGCGGCCCCTGCTGTTCTTCTTCTCTGGTGTCTTGCAGCCCTGCTGCTGCCACCGCTGGCAGCGCCGTGGGGGCGTTCGAGGGCACCGGCGATGATCGCACCAAAGATGTGACGGGGGTAGAAGCATCCTCACCGGGGGTGAAGGGAGAGAGAGAAGGAGGAGGAGGCAGCAGCAGCAGCAACAGCAACAGCAGCAATGGTCTCGACAATGAAAAGGACGGGGCTTCGGCGTTTCGGTCCGTCTTCAAGGACGGCATCCGCGAACTGGGAATGAGCGACCGCACCGTCGGGGGGGGGCGGTCGAGCAGCCGCCGGACCTTGTCGCGAGAGTCGGAAGACGGAGATGCTGCTGGCCGCGGTCGTCACGCCGGGGTAGGAGCTCCAAGACCCGGTGATGGCGGTCACCGTCCCGGCGGCGGCGGCGGCGGCCGGGACGAAACGTCTCCCGTGCTCAGCCCCTCGGCTGCGCCCCGGAGTCGGCAGCAGCACATGCTGAAAGCGCGGTCGTCCTTCGAGGGCAACGGCAGCAGCACGCGGGACATCTCCGCCGGGGCCTCCTTCAACTGGAGCACCAACTCCCCGTCGCCTACGACCGCTGAAAACGACTAGGGCGATTGATTCTTCCAGCTGCTGCTTGAGGCGGCCGCCGGCGTGTCCTGTACTCTTGGATGGTGTATGGTGCGTCTACGCTTGCCGGCATGCAGCCTTCGATGATGATGATGATGATGATGATGATGATGATGTGGTCGGTCGGTCGCTTCGAGCCGGCGCGTGGTTGCTCTGGCACCGCTGCTGCGGCTTAAGCTAAATACCGTGTGCTTCTCCCTCGTTTGTCTCCGCCAAGCCCGGGAGAGTTTGGCCGATTTTGCTCCGTCTCTGGGTGTGGCTGTGGCTACGTACGCTGCTGCTACCATACGTTTCCGCCCGAAACGAGGCAGCAGCAGCAGCAGCAGGAGCAAAGCAGTATTTGTATCACCCGAATAGCTTTATTTTTTCTCTGTTGGTGTCAATTTTGGGAGACATCGCGGTTTGTGAATATTAATACTTAAGTTTTTGACATGCTGCGTGCAGGTACCGTACTCTGTTTTTTTGTGGTGGGTCAGCGCGTGTACCACGTCCGAATTTCTTTTCCCGAATTGTTTTACGGGTCTCTGGCGAGCTATCTATACGTGCGTAGGCAATGCTGTACCTGTTTTGGTCTTGAAAATGAATTGACACCACGAAATGGATGATTTTCGGTGGTATTGTATTAGTGCTCTTCTAGATACTCCTTTTGTTCGCGGTTTGTTGTACTGCTCTTCCTTTCCTCCAAGCCGTATTTAAAGGGAACGTTCAGTACACTACCACACGTACGGAGATATTTTTTCTCTTTTTCACCTGCCGTAAAAATGCGCTTTGGTGAGCTTTTTTGGGCAACAAAAGGAGGCGAATGCGGGTGGGGGTGGGGGTGGGGGTGGGGGTGCGGGGGGAGGCCCAAAATCGCGTCAAGATTCAAGCCAGCTCCTCCAGGCAGAAAATCTCACGGCCAAAACAATATTTTGTCTTGTGCGCACAACGTAAAAGGTTGTAGGTACAATATGTGGATTGATTGATTGATTGTCCGCCGTGTGCACAAGAGCTCGATTTCTCTCAATAACGCTCTATAGGATGTTACGCGAGCGCATGCATAACGTACCTGCGCATGCGGCCCCCGAGTTACCATCTGCGTAGACCCTCCGACGCAGGAATTTTTTGAAGGGTTTGGGGAACAACCGTCACGAACGGAGGGAGGGCTGCCTGCTGGCTGGATAGATGGGAAAATGGGTGTATGAGGGGTGTGGACGGATAAGGAATGTGGGTGGACTGTTGTGTTTCGTGTTTGGGCGGGAGGGAAGGAGTGCTGCTGCGTGTTGAACGAATTTTTTTATCTTTGTCTACCGACCGCGCACTTTGCCAGCCAAAGAAAGTGGCGAATGATATGCTGTATGTTCCCCGTTGCTGTTTCATGTTAGACTAGTTTTTTTTTTCAATTTTTTTTTTCACTCTATGGTGGGCTTCTCTCGGCTGTGAGGGGAAATATAACGTGGTCGATCACAGCTAACAAAGGAGACAAACTGTTGAACGATTCCTTGTTCGTTTGGGACCCTGGATTCGAGCTCATCGGCGTAGAACGCGAAACCGTCGGGTTAGCTTATGTAAAGAACCGTCCTTGTTGTGGGAGGAGCGATGGGAACGAGTTAGATTTTGGAGTAATACAAGAGAACGAAAAGAGAAAGGAAATGGTGTACGTGTGTTTCCCACCTACCGTATCCACGGAGCATGGTCACACCACAACCAACATCAGTGGCTTGAACGTGGTTGAATTGATTTGTGACGTCGCAACCCTATGATATTTATAGGGAATGGGTTCGAATCTCGGCCCAGCCAAACACACGAACCTGCGCTTTTTTCTGACGATACTGCTGTGTATGCCCCAACAAAAAATTGGAAAGCGATATATTCGTGTGTGCGAAACACATCCAGTTTGTGGTCAACGATGGAAAGGTTCGGCCGAATATTCTTCGCGATGACAACGAAGACAAAATAAGTCTCGCTAAGGGATGTTGAGGGGAGAAAAGTCTTCTATGTGGCCTTCTTCCTGTGTGCCCCCAGTTGATGTGTGCGGAAAACATGCAACAACTGCTGCACCACCGGACAGCATGGCACACACCAAGAAACACACATGGAACGACATACACGCATAACACAAGCAAACACCAAAATTTTTGAACACGTTTGTTTCGTTAAACTCGCACAGAGTAGTAGCAGCAGCAGCAGCAGCAGCAGCATTCGAAGACAAACAGCAAACAAACAAAATGTTGACATCGCAACTTCTTGAGCGTGGGATTTGTGTGGGCGTCGCGCTGAGGGGGCCGATCATTACGCCCCGACAAAAGCGACAAAACGTTCCACCCTCCCACCCTGCCTGCCTGATGATACACTCCGCCAAGACCCCAAACAAAAGGGCGCAGTGATGGCGTGGGTCGTGACAGAGTGTGATATGGCGAGAAGAGACCTGCTGCAGCTAGAAAATATGCCAATCGAAGGGGCGTCCATGTTCTTTCGTAGCGTACGGGATGCATTCTGCGTCATGCGCCACCATACACATCGATCGTAGAAACTCAGTTTCGTGTGGACAATTCGATTCTGCTGCTGCAGGCCAACTATTCATAGAAGAAATCTCCCCAAAAAATCGTCTGTCGGCGTGGCGGCTAGAAGTGACAAGTTGGATTAGAAAAATGGAGGCATCCGCGTGGCAATATCAACACCCGACGAGCGAAAACAACCGAAAAAAAGCGTTCTTGCGATGTACCTGGTATTACTTTTCCAGGAGAATTAAGTGTCACGGCCTCTTCCCACCCTACCACCGCCAAAAAATGACGATGGTTTAATTATATACACAAAAGTCCCAGGGATAACTCCTGATAGCAACAAATAACAACGGCTCCAAGTACACGGGCTGGGCACGACACATGTTTGACAACGAATGTTCGTCGACCAACGGCTGGTTGAGTGCTGGCCGGATCGCGACGTTTCTGTACGTCAAACGGTGCAGAAAACGACCATTTGAGTCAGAACGGCTAGTAACGTTCAAAGAGCAGTGACTTCACATTGTACGGTGCCGCCACTATCACCACCATTATCAGCTCTACTAAAATCCCACATCCCACATCGACATCCATCCATGGTGGTCGCTTGGTAGCAGCACCGCAGCAGCAGCAACAGCAACAGCAGCAGCAGCAGCAGCAGCAGCAGCAGCAGCAGCAGCAGCAGCAGCAGCAGCAGCAGTCGCTGCCGCTCCCAACACATTCTCATCCACCTCACGAAACCACTTCCGCGATGGCCTCGATCTCTACGCAGACCCCCAGTGGCAAGGCGTTCACCCCGACGGCCGAACGCGCGTGCGCTCCCTTCTCCCGCCCGAAGACCTCCAACAAGAGATCGCTGGCCCCGTTCAAGACCGCCGACTGCCCGGTGAAACCGTCGGCCGAGCGGACGAACCCGGTGATCTTGACCAATCGAATCTTGTCCAAATCTCCCGCCGCCGCTGTGGTGAGTGGGGTTTTCGGGGGAGGGGGGTTCGGATGCGTGTGGCCGGGGATGGGGGGGGGGGGGTGATTGACGGAGCAAATCCTCAGTCTTTTCGGGTCAATTGGGTGCTAGAAGACGACGACCACCACCACCAGATGTGCGAGGGAGAGTCTTCGCATGTTTTTCGCTCAACAAGGCGTTCTTCAGCAGCGGGGACTTGCGAACACTCTCTGGTGGGTGGCCGCACGCCAGTCCTACGTCCTTGCTGGTTGTAAGTGCTAAGAAAGATACACGGGTACCGACGGGGTCGAGAGACGAGGCAGTCTTCGAGAGACACCTGCACCGAAAACAACAACAAAAATACGTCCATACTGCTGTACACGCACAGAAAACAATAGTGAAATCTAAGCGCGTGATACTGCCAAGAGCCGTAGTAATAATAGTGATCTAAGACCGCGCATCATAGCCTCGGGATAAGGGTACTCAGAGAGGCGAGATAGCAACAGCAACAACACCGCGATGTAGCAAGTAACCATCTTCTGTGAGAGCGGAGGAAAATCGGGCCTTGCCTGTGATGAACCTAGTCTCAGGTCCAAAGATCTTAAAAGAGCTTCGTCCCCGCCAGAAGGTGATGTCTATCGAGATGCGTGCGTGCGCCCCCCCTTTGTGTCTTCAGCCAAGGTCGGTCGTACCGAGTGCCAACCAACCCAAGCCCCCACTCACGTACGTCCTGTTATTCCCAACGCCCACACCCCACCTCGTTGCTAGTGTTCATCTATCGTACGGTGCCCCCGTGCATTCCCACCCACCTTTCATGGTGGTGATGAGGTTGATAGCGACTAGCCTTGCCGCCTCCGCCCCCTGCTCGATCTCTAAGTCAGAACCTACCTGAAGCGACCAAAAAAAAAAAAGAATCACAACCACAACGGTGACACGGGGTATTGTGCGACCGACTGGTGGGGATAAGAGGAGGAGATGATCAATGGTAACGCTTAATTGCTGCGTACGTGAGAGCCAAGATGAGATTTGTGAGCAAGAGACCACAAGTGTCGGGGGCTCGCAATGAAGGGCGAGGGGGCACGCGGCTGTGTGCGTGTGGGGGGGGGGGGGCACAAGGTTTCCGAGAATGACTCGACCTCGGTTGACATGCTGCGCATGTGCATACAGGAGTGGCAGGATCAGACTCACGCGTGTGCCGCACTCGAACCGTACGCGAGAGCTCGGTGGACTCGTGGGGACCCATCCCTGGGTCGGTCCTTTGGTTGCGGGCCAACAAACAGTCTTTGGGGAGGAATAACAACGACAAACGAGGACAGCCCTCTTTGGGGTAAACCAATGCCTCCAACACTTGGAAACCCCTTCCCACGAAACTAACTAACCCAAGGTGGCAAAGCACGCAGAGCACACCGTTCGTGGCACGCGGCAATGCGACCGAACAGATCTACCACCTGTGTGGAACGCGGAATACCCACGGTACATTCCAAACATTCTCCGAGAGCGACGTTCTGGGAATTACTTTCGGCGCCGGTTCAGTGGGACACGACGACATTCCAAACGACGTTTCGCAAAGCTTCCGTTCGGTACACGTCGTTTCAGCGGGAGACGTACGTCATCATGCCGACCACAACACACAAGGCTGCTTCATGCAGCTAAATATGTAGCCGTGTTGCGCTCTCGAGAGTCAGCCAGCAGCAAGCCTAACCTTTCCGGTGGTGAGGGTGCCATCTGGCGCCTTGGGCAGATGTCCCGACATGTAGAGCGTGTCGCCAGATCTCCGGTGGAGGACATAGTTCCCTGCTCACCAGAGAGGGCGGCAACAACAACAACAACAACAACAACAACAACAACAACGAGAGTTAAGCTCGACGGGCTGTTAGCGCCTGCGGCTGCCGACAAAGGTAAGCGTAATGGGATTGTTAGGGATGCTACTGCTACTGCTACTAGGAATCAGGCAATAACAAGAAGAAGAACACCCGCGCGCGAACACGACAGCAACGACAAAAATAAGCAGGCCGATCTCGCCCCCCAAGGCAGATACGCAGCACTACACCTCGTGCATACGCCGGGAGGGAGTTTGCAAGTTCATTCGGGAAACGTTCTTCCTCCTGCTTAGCACTGCCGTGCCTCTCGGCCCGTTACATAACCACCACAGCACATTGCCGCTTAGCACTGCTGTGCCTTTCGGCCCGATACACAGCCATCAAAGCACATTGCCTGCGGGGGCCACCTCGGGCAGCGTGATGTCCAGCTGCTTGAGCCTTTCCCCTACAGCGCCAGTCGCCATCGTCGTCGTTGAGCTCGAGGGGCAGACGTTGGGGCTGGCCGCACAGGAAGGTGATAATCGGGGAGAAGCTGGGCGCACGTTGTCGGAAGAAGAAGGGAGAAGAAAAAAGGAGAGAGCGAGAGGTGTTGTTGTACGCATGCGTAAGCATTCCGCGGTACAGAGTGCAGCGCGACAGCCGAGGGGAGCCCGCAGGACGAGTCAGTGCCAAGTGTGTCCGGTGTAGTCGACCGCATCTGAACCGAACCTGACTGATACAATCTGATCTGCACGAGCAGCAGCGAGTAAGCATCTGGATCCCCGACCCAGACAGAGGCACCGAACCAAACTGAAATATATTTGTTCCTGCTGTGCTAACCAGACCTATATGCATATGCATATATACCTGTTGTCAACAGAGAGCACGAGGGCATCATCCATGGCATTGCAAATGTGTGCTTCCTTCGTACCAATTAATTATCGTGTACACGTAAGTAATTGATGCCTGTCGTGCCTTATGAGAATTTCGTCGGTCGTCGTAGAGAGGAAAACACAAACATCTATGTACACTGCACAGAGTAGTTACCAGTAAATGCCGGTAACGGTAATGCCGGTAATTGGTACCCGACCTTGTGCCGTGTCTCAACCGCCGTTCAACCTCAGCACCTTAGTAACCAACCAGAGGGGGGGATGCAAGGTCGATGTGTGTGCAACAACGATATATTCAAACATGGGGTGTTCGCACCTCCGATTTGACGGTTCCGAGGGCCTTGGCGCAGGATGAAGGAGTCAAGAGGCACCACGCACAGTGAAAGCACCAAGAAGGCGAAGGCAAAGGCACGGTCCAACATGAACACGGTAAAGATTGGCTACAGCAGTAGCAAGAAGCCCGGACGCCGAAGCCTGGTAATTACGGGGCCCCCTACGGGTTTGTATACTGTACGCTAACTGTTTATCTTTGTCGGGGATGGGCATCATGCGCTGAAACGCTGAACGAAACTGCCAGAGAGGGCGGGCAAAAGCGACGGCCAAACTCGAGGGTTTCGGTTACATCCTCGCGTTCATCGTGATGTTCATCGGAAGTCACCGTTGACTTCAGGAGATGAGAGTCTGCAAGTCCAATATATTGTTTCTTGCAGGTTCGGCCCGACATGGTGGGGAGAAAAGGCGGAGTTCTGTGCACTGCTCTCTGCTCTCTGTCTGTCGGTCGATGAGAGGGCAAGAGGGCGCGCGAATTGCGTCCTCACAGGAAGAAGCAGGAGGCACATCGATCGCCGATTCCGGCTCCACAAAACCGCATCGTGGAGGCGAAGGTTTCACATTATTATCAGCAAAAGTTACAGCAGTAGCTGCCTTGTTACGGTAGGGTAATCGCTTGACATGTGGGATGGAAAGTTCTACAGCAGTATTTGTCTCGGTTTTGAAGTGGGATAAAAAATCCCAACTTGCAGTTGGGGCATCCTCTGAATAGTGCCGGTCGCCCTGAATAGTGTGCCGCCATCTCCTGGCGGGCACATACTGGTACCACCACTGGGAGCCCGCCAGTACTACTGTCGTACAACACGAAGGACTTCCCGGCAGGGCTACTTGTACTGTTTACGTACAACACGAAGGCCTACACGGCAGGGCTTGTCTCATTATAAATTTGCAAACGAAAAACAAACAAATCGATGGAGTCTGATCGAGCTCCCACCACGTGCGGCCCTATGTCCCGCTTTTCAACATGAAGAGGGGTGACATTTTTGTCAACGGCTGTTTGTCAACGGTTATCCAACCCCACTGCTGTGTGGCCATCTACAAAATACATCTACATCTGTTCTGTTTGTGAAGCACCGGTCGGTGCTAATATCATCCCTTGCTCTCAGTTAGTCTATATGTGCGTCCACTCTTTGTTTGAAGTCCAAAGATGTTTACTTTTACAACACATAAAATTATACGTGCTGCATGTACGCTGGAGAGTCGATGCATTCGCTACCATCTCATCGAGACATTTATGATAAATCCGACACGGCCAACAAGAACATCCCTTTTCAACACCACAGACCAGCGCTACACACAGCAGAATGCATCATCAACAGCCTCGCTCCGGCACTCGAATAAAGGCAACAGGACGGAACTGTTACTGCCTGCCGTGTCCAACAGCTCCCCCACCCCCACCCCCACCCCCCAAGCATGCATGCGTATATCGCTCCCACACTCAACAAAAAAAGGTAACAGGGAGTCCTTACTCTTCTGCTCCGTCCCACCTGCAGCACGCCTATTTCACGAACGCGCATGACCTCCAGGAAAGAGCGGAAACAGCCAAAACACACCACATGCATTCTTGTGCGTCGCTGGGCAGCGCGGTCGACGACAACATCAAGCAACACGCAGCCCAACACACATTACACGCATCCATCCCGCCAAAAACGCCTCCTCCGAAATATCAAGAAAATTGGTGAGTGTATCCATCCTGGGAGACTCCACAAGGGCTAAGGGCCGTTGTTCGATATTCGTTGCTGCCGCACACGCGGCGACGGTGAGTGGACGCACAAGGTAGCCTGAACACCGGACGGCACGCCAGTGCACACACAGAACACACAATCTACGGGTCGTCCACCATTGTTGTCTAAAGGCATCCTCCATAACACTGGGGTGCCAGAGGTCCAGAGCTCAAAATCCCGGCAAATACACTGGTGCATACCAACGGCGTGGCACTGCTGGTGAGTTGTACAAAAACACCCCAGGCTGCTACAACGAGGGGCAAATTTGATTCAACACTTTTTGGGACACAAAAAAGAGCGCAGACCGACCGTGGAAAAGGCATGACCCTGGTCAGAAAGCATTCCGAACGGTGTTAGACGCGACAAATTTCACTGGTGGCCCGGAACAAAAAAGACGGCAAAAGAAAAAAAAGAAAAGACAAAAAAAAATAGAGCGACTAACAAGAGAAACAACAAAGGGGGAACAAAAAACAAGACACCAAACGATAAAAAAACAGTGACGAGACTACGTTAAGTGTGTTAGGTAAACTGCGACCTGATCCTCAAGCAAAGTGGTCCAAAAGCTTTGATGCGTGATAGCGCCCCGTTGGCCGACATCTCAATAAAACGCCACGTGACGTGGCCAAGATTTCACGTGCTACTAGCCTCCTGCTGGCCGGCATCTCAATAAAACGCCACGTGACGTGGCCAAGATTTCACGTGCTACTAGCCTCCTGCTGGCCGGCATCTCAATAAAATGCCACGTCGTGTGCAGCCAGCCCTTCGCATGGTCTGTTGCGAGCAGACACGGTACCACTACTTTCGAACGCAGCTCAAAAGGTGCTCGAAGCCGCCCGCTAGACAGACTTGCGCACACATCTATCGTATAATATAAAACGTTCAGTAGGCTGGGCATCGACCATCTCGGTAAAATTTTGCACCACCACCGCTACCACCACCACGACTTACCTACCCGCGCGACCCAACCGCGTGCCCCCAGAACCCATCGCGTCGTCAGCCGACACAAGCGCACAAAAAACGGCCATGCATACCACATTCGTTATGCTCGCGTATCGTCGCCGTCTCGACGCTCATCCCCCACCGCCGCCCCCTGTATTTGCCCATGCCTCGCCTCGGACCCCGCACCCGGCTCCAGAGGACTCAAGCTGCCGTCATCCGACGTCGACCGCAACATCTGCGGTCTACCGCCACCATCCCGGAGGTGGCAGTTATCGTTCAAGGCGTAGAAACCCACGTGGTCGTGCCTGCCGAGCTCCCAGAACAGCGACTCGGCTCGTCGCCTCAGCTTCTGCAGGTCCTCCCGCATGAGGAACAGGATGAAGCCCAGGTAGAGGGAAGCCCCAATGGCCGTGCACGCGTAGAGCCAGGGGGCGGCCGCTCCCTCCGAAGAGATGCCCTCGTCGAAGAGGAAGCCCAAGACGATGGAGATGTTGATCCCGATAATGCCGATCGACACCATCCACACGAAGGCCGTCATGGAACTGGTGATAGTGAACTCGCCCATGACGTGCGGGCTTTGGGGGGGAGGAGAAGGGCGAGCGAGCGAGCGAGCAAAGCGAGCAGGGATGGGTGAGGGAGGTACAGCACTGCCTGCGGTCATGCGAAGGCGTGGCATATAGAGTGCGCTTACACGAGAGCCAACGATCCAACGCTGTTCAGGGGACAAAACACGCCGAATTCTGCATGTTGGTGCTTATCGAGGCGACGCCTTTTGCCCACGAGCCCCGTGAACCATCTTACCACACGAAGAGGCACTCGAACCTTGATTTGCTGCACTCTACCATTTCAATCGCAAAGCTCCTATAGGCCTCTTCTGCCCGACCCCGCTCTATGGCATCGCGGTACTCTTCGGGGTCTTTAGTAGTAGGAAAGGGTGTACGCAAGAGGAGGCGCCGGCTACGCGTCACACCCCGTTCTTGGCAACACCACGACATCAGCAACCTGCACGACCCCATGCCGCCACCGCCAACCCAAAAGGAAGGTGCAGCAAACCCCTGACTGGTCGACGCCCAAGCCTACAACACACCGCCGCCGCCGCCGCCACCACCGCAAAGCACAGCGACAGACACCTCCTCACCTGTTGCAGAACGTCAGGAGCGGGATGATGGCGAACGGTAGCTGCAAGCTCTGCAGCACGTTGAGCCACGCGCTCAAGCGGTCTGTCGCCCGGATGTCCCCGCCCATGAACACCGTCACCGCCAGGGCGGGGCCTAGAGCGATAATTCGCGTCACGAGAACTCTTTGCCACTTGGGAATCTTAAGCTGAAGGAAGCCCTCCATGACGAATTGCCCCGCGTACGTCCCCGTCATGGTGCTGCTTTGGCCCGCCGCCTGTAATATTGAGGCCGAAACATAAAAAAAAAAAAAAATGTCTTCTTGTGTCAGGATTCACTCGGCTGAGCTCAGCTTTTGCAAATCACAGAACGGCATCGTTACAGACAATAACCTCAAGGTACCCTTTCACCAAGGCTAGAAGAAAACGAGAAATGCAAACACGTACCACATGGGAACAACACACAAAAAAAACATGACCGTTGTAGTAACCACCGTTGAAGATAACTGTACCAACAACACCGGGTACTGTTTATTTAGTAGGAAAAACAAACAAAACGACGCGTCCACTCCCTGGCCACAGAAACCCATCCAAACACGGCCGATCGCTGCTCTCCTCACCAGCAAACCAACGGCCCACACGTACTTCGCCGATGACCCTAGCGTTCCCCTCAGCGCGGCCGCCGCCGCCGAGAGCCCTATCTCTTGGCAAAGCCCCGTGCCGTCCGCGTCGCAGCTGCCGTAAGACGGCTGCGTGGGGTCGATCGAGTCCCCGACGAAGCAGGCCGACGGCTCAGACGCGGTGGCGCACGTCTCGTCGTAGAACTGCTTGGCGAACGTGCAGACCACGGCAAGGTTGATCATGAACGCCACCATCAGCGCGATCCCGCTGTCGATGGTGTAGTACTTAGTCGCCTATTGTCGTCGCCCAACACCCAAGAGGCGAGTGTTTGGCGCCACGAAAAGGCAGGGGACGGAAGGGGCGGGACCGCGGGAGGGAACGGGGGCGAGATCAGACTCGTATAATGTTGTCCTATTGTCTTCACATGTAAAAAACCGTTCCGTTCTCCGCTCAGTACCTTCTAATGTCCGTACTGGTCCAACTCACGCGGACGCCTTCTGTGGTCACAAGCAAACTACCCAATTTCTAGAAACGAACAAACAAAAACCGAATTATCGCTTCGGGGGAGTTGAAACACAACGTTCCTCCACACCATTTCGCCACCCAGCACGCGAGACACAACCATATAATGATCCTCCCTGGTCAATCCTCGAGAAACGCAGCCCCTGCCGACGAAAACTCGCTCCGTCCCGGCACTGTAGGGATGCGAGGACAATGATTCCCACAACTACGGCATGCGCTTACATGAGTGCACCCCATCCCCCCCTCCGCCGTACAACAGCAGACGTGACGAAACCGTCAACATGGACCTATCCGAACTCCGCCGCACAACAGCAGCAGCGGCTACGAAACCCGTCAACATGGGGTCCATCCAGCCCACCTCCCACAGCTTCCTGGGTCTCGTCCTGTCCACCACGCGCGAGAGCACCAGGGCGGAGTGCAGGTAGATGTTGTGGGGCATGATGACGGCCCCGATCAGCCCCAGTGCCGGCACCGTCGCGTACGACTCCGCCGTGAAGGAGAACCCCTCCGCAACGTCCGCCGGCGACGGCGGGCTCATGAAGAAGTCGATGAAGAAGGCCACCGTCATGATCGACACCAGGACCACAAACAACGCCTCGAGCTAATTTGCGGGGGGGGGGGGGGGGGGGGGGGGGGG